TTTGATAAACTCAGTTTAGAAGCATTAGGATGGTTATTAGTGGCATTATCCAGTGGTGAAAATAGTAATAAACACCAAACAATTGAAATAATATACAAACATCTCAAAGGTAAAGTAAGTGAAACAGCTAATTTATTGTATTTTTTTTATTTAAGCTTTTTATTGAAAAGGAAAAAGGAACGATTGCGCAAGCGGCTTTCTCCATACGTGCGCCTTAAAATGTGTAAAGACGGACGTATAATGAGCTTAAAAGGAGAAAGGAAGGAAAACGGAAAGAGAAAGCTCATGCAAGAGATGGTCGTTCGGGTTTTGGGATATTCACTTCGACTGTTCTAGCTGTACTGGCAGCGAGAGGAAACGGAAACTTCTCAGAATCGCACTGTTCGTACATATAGTATATATCGGCATATCTCGTTCAGAATAACTTGACTGTCGCCCAAACATCTCCCACGAACTCCCAATAAACTAGCCACCGACACACAAGGCAGGAAGCTCAGACCGAATAGTAGATCGGTTCTTTCTAAAACCATACGTTGAACAATCTAATAAATAATACTTGACTGTTACATTAGCTCCCCGGCATGTACAAAGAGGTGATGAAACACATCTTTTGGAGTGTAAATTGGCATTTAGTTGGGGTTTTCCACATTTCAATCGCATAAAAAGTATTTCAGCTTGTCGTGATGGAAAAATGAGGCTTCTTTTAAAAGGGAATTCGTTTTGCAAAGCCAAAGCATTCTGTTTCAGTTTTTTACGTAATGGTTTCGTCTTTAATAAGTATTATGTTGGATCTAATTCGTTCCATTTCTTAGAGAGTAGAGTAAAAAAAGAGCTATTTGTATTGTATCTACAAATTGCATTTTGGTTTGCATGTTACTTCTTAAGTTATGTACAACATTAGTTTGTTGTAGCTGAATTTGCGATCGCAGATATTCTGGGGCAAGACCATGTATAATTTTAGAGTAGAAAACGATCTGAGTGATATGAAAGTGTTCTTTAATGGATAGCTAACCTAATATAATCCTAAGTTTCTCTTCCGAACTATCTTTCATCGCACCCAAAACCACTAGAGAAGCATGGTACTGTACAGCCTCCAATTTATCTAGATTCTGCTGAGTAGTAAAAGAGAATAAAATAGATCCATAGTTAAAAAGCGAAAGCACAAAAGCCTTATAAATAAGGTCTAGAACGGCCTTATTCGAAAGTCTAGAATGCCGTCTCATCAGCCCAACAAGTGCTTCCCCTCTTGAGGCAATATTATCAGTATGCCTGCCCCATGTCAAGTCATATGGAAGGTAAAGCCCCAGATGTTTACAAAATGGTTTTACAAAATCTTTTTCAGATAAAATTACCCCCAAGAGTGATAAAACAGAAAGGGTAAAAGTGATGCTCCTCAATTGTCTGGTAGAAAAGCTTATTACTTCGCACTTGATAGGATTCAAAGGTATTTTCCACTTCTTAGCGCATTCTACAACACAGATAAGATCTCGAACCAGCCTTTAAGAGGCAAGAACGAGATCATTGTCGTGTGAAAAAAGAAGAGTGTTATCGGCAAATAATCGAATTGCACTTTCAATTCCTATCGGAAAATCATTGATGTCGATGAGAAATAATACGGGTCCAAGGATCGAGCCTTGAGGCACACCCTTGGAAATGCCTCAAGGAGCTGAAGTTACACCGTCAACCATAGTCTGAACAGTTCGACCACGTGAATAGTCGGCTATCCGGGCCAGTGCTTTTCCTTTGATATTCTTCTTCTTCAGTTTAAATAATTATCTTTCATGGGAAACTTGATCAAAAGCTTTCTGAAAATCGACGAGAACTGCTCTTACTACCTTATCGTTTTCCATCCCCGCTCTTATCTTATCTATCACGTCTAAAACGAGATCTGTCGTACTAGCTCCGGCTATAAAGCCTGACTGAAAGGGAGATAGTAACTTATCTTCAAAACCTTAGCTTCAAAATTCTTTAAACGCAGTGCATTTGATAAACTCAGTTTAGAAGCATTAGGATGGTTATTAGTGGCATTATCCAGTGGTGAAAATAGTAATAAACACCAAACAATTGAAATAATATACAAACATCTCAAAGATAAAGTAAGTGAAACAGGTGAAACAGCTAATTTTATTACATCATATGGTGATGATGATCAATCAGTCATGTTACATTCAAATCAACGAACAGATGCTATATTATTAGAATCATTCTTATATATTGATCCAGAGTCAACTTTATGTACAAAATTATGTAAAAGTTTACAAGCGCATAAAGTGAAAGGTGCATGGAAATCAACACAAGAAAATTGTTTTGTATTAATTGCATTAGAGAAATATTTTCACATGAAAGAAAAGGATACACCAGAATTTGTTGCAAATATTTGGCTTGATAATGATTATTGTGGTCAACATGAATATAAAGGTAACGGAATAGCAAAGAGTATTAGAAATTGTTACTAACATCCTAATGTGATATCGATACAAGGATATTTAACAAAATTTGGACCAAAGCAGGATGTCGATTTCTGTAAGGGCTAGTTATCCACATAAATATGTCAGTTGCCTCTATAGTTTATTTGTGAGAGTTAATCTTATTTTCATACCCAAAGATCTATATATTAAACTTTAACTTCCAACAAATCAAACTTTGATAAATATCATCCTCACACTTATTAGAAGAAACAATCTGTCTTACAGCATTTATCTATATGATTATTCACTCGTGCAAAGGAAGCTTCTATGAACAGTTCTAAAACAATGTATAATAGCTGGTCAATGTAATACAATTTGAGACAATCAATCGGTTATTTTCAGTCATTAAGTCGAGGTTGGCCTTACTCCATTTAAGTACAATTTCAGAGACTTACTGAAAAACATATCTACTACTTTTCGTTCAGAAGTCATTAGACCTTTCAAGTGACTCTTGAAAAGTGAGCGAACATTGAGCAATGTCAAGTATAATGCATTGAATAATAGGTCTGTTAAATAAGAAGAACAACAAAAACTTATTATCTGTGCAGTTATAAGTCTTGTTCGATTCTTAAGGTCCCTAGTAGCTTTAAAGTTGGCAAGATGACGTTTTTATAGTTCAACATCCATGGTATCCTCAATTGCCGTTATTACCAAGTAGGATACTTGGATAGAAATGGATCGTCAGAAATGCTAAAGGTCGTTAGAGAATCTTCTCTGACTTTTTGCAAAAAGTATTACTGACATATTTCTCATATCATCTACCATGTTTGACTAGAATGTTAGTCCTTTATGTAGTCATACTACGTAGCAACTACCATTCCAAGGCCATCAAATAAAAAATAAATGACAGGATAAATTATTTGTGTAGGGCTTTTCTTTGAAAGTTATCTTTCGACAGCATCTGTAGTCGTTGAAAATTAGCGAGGGTCTTATCAGAGTGTCAACTTTAATATATCATACCTAAAGGCATGAAGACATTGAGACGAGTTTAACACTTTGAATTTCGTCTTCTACCATATTCCCATCTTTTACTTTCTACGTGCTTGATAACG